TTTTAGCTGAACGCCACCAGAACTTTGTACTACATTTGGGGGATATTCTCCTGTTTCGGGGTTTATTATTATTATTCCGGATTTATAAAGCGCAGAACTTATTTATGTTTATTTACATTTCCTCCACCTCCTGAGGAAGCGCTTGGAGTGCGAAACGCGTAGAGATACCAACCCCTCCCATCATCTTCAGATGAGGCCGTGTCACACATATGGAGAACGTTTCTTATGTATCATGTGACTCGTTGTGTCCTCCAGCTTGGAGGTATGGGGGGGTGTGGTGGTGAGACCCTCCGCTCCTCGTTTTTTTCTCTCATTGGATAATATTGGTATGAAGCATGTGATCCAATGTCCCCGATCACGGACGGATGGATGGACGGGGGGGGGGGAGTACTTTGTCACTAGGAGAGAAGTTTCTATATTTGAAATTTGTGGCTTTTTTTTTAATTGTTTGTACCTAATAAAGATTTCTGTGCTATGAATGATGATGTCATTTCCTGGATCCGGGGCCTCGGAAGCCGCATTTACTGACATTGTTTCTACCAACATATTACCATAGAAATCCTCTTCCGTCTATTACTGGAGCCACATAGAGGAAGAGCTCACTTTTTGCTGTTCCATATTTTGTCTTTCGGCCAAAAGAAGCCCCCGCCCACCATGGCACGTGATTTACCTCCTCCATCCATATCCAATGATGACAAAGATCGGAGGAGGACGGGCGATCACTTGCCTCGTGTGTCACGTGACGCGGCCCGCTGTCTCGTTGTCCGCACTAATCATGGCGGCGAGGCGTCACGTGACTACTAAGCCGATGGAGCCAATCAGTATGAAGGAGGCGCGGTCAGACCGGAGGAGGCGGAGCTTCAGACAGGATGAAGTGAGTGCCGAGCAGAACTGATATCACTTCGAGGGGAACATTTGTTATGTTATTGTGGGTGGGGTGACCGCGGGATGATGGGGGGAGTTGTCACCTCATCTCTCTACTGACTGGGGGGGAGGGCTTCTGTCAGCAACGTTTCCCCAGGTCTGTGTGGGGGGGAGGGGTGATATCGCTGCTCCGCCTGGAACACACAGAGATCAGGAGTAGTTCAGGACTCTAGTCCATGGGGCTCAGTGTACAGAGGACTTACTGTTACCATGGGGTAGGGGGGTAGGTATGTAACCTGTGCAGTGTAATTGTCCTTTGTGGAGGCGGGGCCACCTGATGCGTGTACACGGGGGCGGGACTTGATCATTTTTAGGGTTTATTTTTCAGATGTGATGTAGGGAGATTACAATCCGCCCCGCCCCCCCTCCCATGTGACA